AAGGAAGAAGTCAGGAAAGTGCTACAGGAACAATCAAATAAGATAGATACAGCATTGTAAACAATTCAAAACCTACAGAAAGAGGTCCAAATGATTAACAATAGAATATCAGAAATGGACAATACTGAAAGGGCAAAGGAGCAGAACTGAAGAGATAGAAGCCAGAACTAGTGAGCTAAAAGATGAATGTCTCAACACAACTAAGATAGAAGAGCAAGCACAAAAAGGATTAAAAAAAATAAAAAATCTGAAGAGGCCTAAGATTCATGTTGGACAACATGAAGAGAAATAACTTAGGAATTATCGGCATTCAGGAACAGGAAGAATCACACAAGTCCATAGAGGAGATAGTTGAAGAGCTGCTGGAAGAAAATTTCCCTAACATACTGAAAAGTGAAAATATAAGCATTCAAGAAGTTTAACAAACCCCAGGATGGATAGACCCTAAAAGAAAATCACCAAGACATATAATAATCAAGCTCTCCAAAATCAAAGATAAGGACAGGATCCTGAAAACTGCTACGTAAAAGAGAAGTGTAACATACAAAGGTAAGCAAATCAGATATAAGCTCAGATCTCTCAACAGAAACCATGCAGGCAAGAAGGCAATGGGGAGACATATATAAAATACTAAAAGAAAAAAAAATGCCAACCAAGAATCCTCTACCCAGCAAAGCTGTCCATCAAATATGATGGTGTAATCAAACATTTCAGGATAAACAGACACTAAAGGGATTTTGCCAAAGCCAACTCTGCTATGAAAATGTCCTAAGGGAAGTTCTGTGGACTGAGAACCAATAAGAACAGACAACAACCAGAGAATGACGTATGTGGCAGCATCACCCTGAACTCAATCGACATATGGAAGAGTCAAGAATAGAATAAAATTATAAGAACAGAGGATCTGGGAGGTCAGTCTATGATCAAAAGAATTACAATGTGAAAGAAGATAAACACAAAGGAACAGAGATCCAGGTGGTGAGAAGGTCAGGTAAATTACAGGATAATATAGACTGTCTTATAGAGGGAAGAATTAATGTAACATAAGGTAACCACAACAGTGGGGTTGGGGTGGGGGGTTTAATTCAGGTGTTGGGAAGGGCAATACAAGGGGGAGGAGGTGGAATAATATGAGAGATAGGGAACACTGAGACAGGTTTGCATGGCCTAAGTGGGACAGAGGTAAATAGTGATGCATGCTGAATCTTGGAACAACAGGGCTCTGTGATACAGGGATCTAGGCATAGTTTGAAGAGGGAAAAATAATACTAAAATGCTTGAATGTCTTATGAATATTGGTTTCCCTTGCCTACTATTGTAAAATATACACTTGAATGATATAGAAAGGAATGTTAGGAAATATGATATGTAAGCCCATATTCAGCCTATAACTGATTGGAATATCTAAAGGTTCTAGAACTTGCCCAATGAAATAGGCCTCTTGCAAAGCCTTTACAGAGTATAGGACCTTAGGTGGAATCCAAAACCTTATGAGGTAGGACATTCCCATTAGTAAGGACAAGCACACCAGCCTGGAACAGCTAGAGCAACAGAAAATACATCTTCAAAGAAAGGTCATCATCAGAGGTAAATAATGATATATGCACAACTTGAAAACAACAGAGTTCTGTGATACAGAGATCGAGCCATGGTTGGAATGTGGAAAAGGGGGGAACAATATTAAGATGCTTGGCTGTCTTTTGAATCTTGATTTTCCTTGTATTATATTATAAAATAGACACTGGAGGGGGAGAGAAAGGAATAGCGAAAA